GTTCACATCCGTTTGTGTGTGTGTGTGTGTGTGTGTGTGTGTGTGTGTGTGTTTACATCTGAGATCAAATTTGCTACAGTGAAAAACCCCGTGTTGTGAAAAATTTCTTGCTGCAAACATGATTTCGTTCTAGAGGAGTTTCACTGTAACTGCTGGTATGTAAATAGAAGAGCTACGACCTAGTAAATTGCAATTCGTCCAAAGAGATGATGCAGATAAATGTTTATCTATGCGTTTTTAATGCAGTTACAATGTTTTGTAAGAAATGAATTTATAATCTAGCTCGCTTTTTCTTCTTCGCTCACATTTTTGGGGGGGGGGGCGAGGGGGGGTGAAGCACACTCTTTAGCATCATTTGTGGGAAAGAGTGGTACTACAAGGCTGGGACAACCATTGTTTGTCAATTAGCATTACATATGTCCAAATTTAACGAATGTGTATTTAGAAGTAACTCTTTAACGAAGGTGCACAGAAGCTAAACAGCCGCGTAGAAGGATGACAGTCATATGTCAACAACGCAGTAGATGGGCACTTGACTATCTCATTTAGTTGAAAAGTAAAATCCACGGAAGAGAAAGTTGCACCACTGTCTGAAAAGCCTCGAGTTGTCTTGGCAGCAAGTTTACTGCATCAGTAAACGGAGTAAACAGGAAATAACAGCGTAATTAAGTGTGCATTTCTTACCTTGTTACCTCAGCGTCTCCATGTCACGAACGGATCTTGCGGGACGAGTGGAGACGAAGGGGGAAGTTATCCCAGATAAAAGAAAATATATATTTTTTAAAAACCGCGACAGAAAGACGCTCAACTGATGCTGACCAAATGTTCAACCCCCCTTCCTCCCCCCTCCAAAAAAAGGACAGTGCGCTGGTATCCGGAAACCGAGGTGCTGGAATGCCAAACGAAGGCTTTCATCCACTTGAAACATCCAGAGCCGAGGATTCGTAGTTTCCAGGACCGGTAATGTTGATGTTTCTCCGGGGAAAACTTTCTCCCACCGTCGCGCTAACCTCCGTAAAGACTGCACAAGCATAAGCCACAGCGGCAGTGGCGACGGAGGAGGGGACGCGCTTCTGACGTAAGAAATTGCGTCACCACCAGGAAGCGGTGACGGTTTTCGTTGGCGCGTTCCCAAGCGAGCCCCGGAGAAAAGTGGCCGACGACGGCCACTGGCGTTCGAATACAAAACTACAACAACAACAAAAAAAACCCAATGGCAATCGATTCAAATTCTCATTAAATTTTGGCCTTTACAAAAATGAAACGTTTCCCTGAAAATAAATAAATTCATATAATCAAAAAAATGTATCCTAGATTTGGGACTATTTGGGTCTAAACATCGCGAGACTGCAGGTCAATGACTTAAATCCACGTGTTTATTTTTTTTTCTCTCTGTGAAGCAATCACAAGTGGATACCAAAAGGGGGTAAGGTGTGAGGATAAAGATTGAACAGGAAATTGACAAGAAAGGTCCAGTAGATATAAGAAGTCGTCACACCCCTGTTCAAATGCCAGTTTTGTGACAGTAAAAAAAAAAAAAAAGAAAGAAAAGAAAGAACAAGCAAAATTATAAACTTTTTCCATCATTAATGTGACCTATAACATTTACAACGTAATTGATTAGTTTTAATCTTTTGGGGACTAAAGAACTGGATGGTTGCACACGTGTGCGCACTCTCTTATAACTTAGATGTGGCTGTGTTCAGAATTAACAAATCCCATTCAAAATCATGATAACTGGAAGTCAGCATTCACCTGCCGCATCCTTCCACCTTGTCTAAATCCCTAGTACAAGCTAATTTAATTCAGAGTAAATTTTATTTGTTCTAGTAGGCTTTTCAAAACTTTTTTTGTTTGTTTCATTCGTTTCGAGCTTTTCTCGATTTCCCTCCAGGTGAATCAAATTCTGCCTGACACTAAGGTGGAAGCGCCGCTCGGAAGATTGAGGTTGAGAAAAAAAATAGGCTGTCCATGCTCCCCTGGAATGGGCCCAAAGCACACGACAAGGGGCAGCGGTCCACTATGTAGCAGAGGACAATAATGACAAAGACTCCATTGACCTTCACATTGGGTTGCACACGGCAGTGTTTCATTGTGATCAAACATGCTCTTGCTGTGCGCGTGTGTAAGGCTGCAAGAGTGCAAAGAATATCAATTGGATATTTGCATACCTTGGTGGATTTTTTTTTTTTTTTTTTTTGGAGGGGGGGGGGCGGATGCTGCTGATCTGTGTTCCACATGACCCACCATCATGTTGTTATTTGTTGTAAAGAGGAATGGAGCTGGACTGACAAACCTTCATTATGAAACAAAGGCCTCCTTAAAGACCATTTCCATAACAATAACATAACTAATTCAGTTCTCCCCATCGGAAATCATGTCAATTGAGGTCATTCTGGCACAAAACATTCATTCAAAAGGCGTTATTTTAAATTTGTATGATACTAATGCTGTATGAACTCAAAGAAAGTTAATCCACTCACACTTTGAACAGGAAGGTAGAATTCATTTTTAAGTTATGCTCCCTGTTTATACAACACTGAATGGCTGAGATCTTGAATACATTAAAGAAATGCTGATTGAATACCAACAAGGTTCTGAGATCGGCAGACCTGCATCAATTAGTGGAGCCCAGAGTCAAAGCAAACATGGTGCATCAGCACTGAGCTGTTTTACTGCACGCATATAGAATAAACTGCCAATGGAACTGCAGTTAGATACAAAAGTAAATGATTTTAAATCCAGGTTAAAAAGTTGTTTTTTTTTCGCCATACCTATGATTGAGGTCTTTTCCAGCATTTCTGTCATCAATCTTTCCAAAATCCCGTTCTTGTGTTGTACATTGTATTGTTGAATAATTTTAGTCAAGTACTTTCAGTAAAATGCTCTTTATGTCTTTATGTCTCTGCTTTGCGTTGTTGTTTTGTAGCTATGTGGAGCACGTTTGAGTGACCTTGATTCATTTGAGATGTTTGGGTTTGAATCTTTAAGGAGTTTGCATGTTCTCTACATGCGCGGATTGATATTTCCATCCATCCATTTTCTCATCCGCTTATCTTCACAAGGGTCATGGGGGGAACTGCAGCCTATCCCAGCTGTCTTCGGACACCTTGAACTGGTTGCCAGCCAATCACAAGGCACACACACTGGTCATGGCGGGAGCTGCAGCCTATCCGAGCTGTCTTCGGACACCTTGAACTGATTGCCAGCCAATCACAAGGCACACACACATGAACAACCATCGGTGCACACACTGACACCGAAGCAAAATTTAGAGTGTTCCATTTAACCTGCCATGCATGTTATTGGAATGTGGGAGGGAACCGGAGTACCCGGAGAAAACCCACGCAGGCACAGGAAGAACATGCAAACTCAAGACAGGATGTCCAGAGTCAGAATCGAACCCTGCACCTCTGCACTGTAAGGCAGACGTGGTAACCAGTCCATCATCCTGCCGCCTGACTGATGTTTGACAAAGTGGGGGAAAAAAAGCTGAGAAAAACACCATTTAGAATGACGTCTGTCAGGATCCTCTGCCTTGGAGCTGCAGGATAACTGATGCGGACTGCTCTCCAGGATTGAGGTGATCACCACCGTAGACTTATCCTGCTTCACCTCACTTCAACATATCACACACAAACGCGTGTACAGTAGAACCAAGTCCGAAGTCAAGTCGTCTGACGATGTCGCACTGCAGCGCTACCTGTGAAGCTGAGTTCCAGACGGTGGCAGCGGTCGCGTGGGGCATGGTGGTCCTTGGAGTAGAGAAGCCCAGAGGAATTGTATTAAAATTTGTATGTTCGCCAAATTGGGAAGTGACTTGTCAGTTTAATGTTGAGGTAGATTTAAAAATATTTTCACGAGGAAATATTGAATAGTTTTTGTTATAATGAAGAATTAAAAAAAAAAAAAAAAAAAAGAATAAATTGGCCTGTTAGTCTAAAGCAGGGATGTCAAACATACGGCCCGCGGGCCGGAACAGGCCCACAAGGAGGTTCGATCAGGCCCGCAGGATAATTTAAAAGTGAAAAAAATTCATAAGAGACACGGAATGACTACTTTTAATAAGGTGCAATTCATGGAGTATCCGCTAGATCTGTTTATTAAATTTCAAAATTTTCCTCATGTTCTTGTGCTTCTTTAGACCAAAACAAAGGAAAGATATTATTTTGGTTATTTATAGCAGAGTATGGTATAATTTTAATGGTCCGGCCCACTTTAAAGTACATCTACCGAGGCTATATGTGGCCCATAATGTGAAATGAGTTTGACACCCCTGGTCTAAAGTTAGGGTATGATTTAAAATTTTTAAAATCTTTTCTTATTCAATGAACAGATCATTTTTACAGAACAAAGTGAATGTGAGATACGTAGATTTGTCTTCACTGTGACTCTCACACTGCGGCAGTTTTGAAGGTTAGTCATTGTACTACTTACCTTGCATACGAGATTGTCTCTGTACTACCCCCCCGACACATGTCGCTGGAGTCGGTCACATACCACAGTTTGGGTCTCAAAGGGTTCCAGTGTTTCGGCGCTTGGCACGATGAAGAAGGCTGCGCCTTTTCCGTGAGCCAGCAGGTTGCTCAAAAAGTCTGCCAATGGATATTAAAATTGCATTTGCTGCTCTTTGTGGCCTCATGTTTAAAACATCTCATGCATACCCTTGTGTGATTGCTCCTCTAATTTCCTAGCTTGGACGGAGTGAAGCGGCTTCTTCATGTATTGGGATCTTCATTACAGTGTGCGAGTCCTGACAAAAGTATTTATTATTTTGCTGTCAACTATTCAGGCAATCTGCCCAGCGGATCAGCTGGCACCCCAAAATCAAACCCTAGTGAGAATAAGCACTCGCGAAGCCGGATAGATGATTATTTAGTTAAGCACCTTTTTGATGGGTTGCTGGGCTTGTTGACATGACAGTTGAAATTCACCTGGATGCTGGAGATGCGCCTAGGATGGCGGTGTGATTGATCATCAGCAGTTGCTTGTGACAGGTTCCGCCAGCAGCACGTCGCCGAAGTCGACTGTCAACTCCGCTTGCCCCATGTTGTCCGAAACGGGACTACTGGTGGAGAGGAAGAAGAGATGCGACGACTTCATGACAATGATGGGTGCAACGTCTCGATAAACATTCCTACCTGATCCCAGGAAGCGTGTAGGACACTCTGAGTGGCAAGATGCTGTGAACAAGAGGCGAGCTCATGCCCTCTACCTCACGGAGCGCAAACGCATCATTCAGCGCCGATTGGGGTGACAGAAAACCAATCAGAATAAGTTCATCACCAAAAAGGCTTGACGTTTTTGACCTCCCATGTGTTGCTTACATCCACACGCAGCACCCAGGAGAAGTTGGATGGCAAGAGCGTCTGGTTGAAGAGAGGGACGGTCCCTAATGCTGCCATGCCCATGTAGACTTCAGAGAGGAGCAGCTCGCAATTGAGCAGACTGCACATGTGCTCGCAGCAGCAGGTGGCGGCAAAGCACACCAACAGCTAGACATGAATTGTGAGCCAAAAGTACAGCATGCAATTGGTAGTTTTATTGACAGGCACCATGATCAATGGCAAGTCATTGAGTGGGAAAAACAAGGGTCGATTCTTATGAAAGGAAAAAGTATTGACAGATACTGAAGGAAGTCAGAAAAGTACTTTGAGGCAAAGGAAGGATTCAATACAGGAAGTAAAAATGTAAAAAAAAAAAAAACAGGTTGGAAGTGAAAAACAATGGAAAGAAGGATGTATGAATAAAAGATGTGATGGAGGGGAGGACAGACGGGTTGGTTTCCGCGAAGGAAGGCTCTAAATGACAGTTCGTGGATGAACTGAATGGTGATTGGATCCCACAAACTTAGACAAAATCTGAAACCAAAATATTTATTTATAAACAAAAGTGCACTGACAAAATACAAACAGAGATCGCTCGTCACAAAGAGCCAGGAAAAACAATGCATAAACAAAAAGCGCTTGCAAAGGCAAGGCAATAGTAAATCCGATAATATAAACGAAATGACAAGGGTCCAATTTCAGGAAACAAAACAAGATCAAAAGACAAAAATAATATCAAT